ATAGATCCACTGCTGGGCACAGATCTCCTCTTACAATGAGAGGACTTGGGCTCCAGTTACCACGCGGGCCCAATACGGATTGGGAACTTCAAACACATCATGAAATTCCTTTGCAGTTGTGTTGTGCAGGTTTCCTAACGATGTTTTCTAAATATCTTTCATACAAAAATAAATAAATTTAAATAGATTCCTCTAAACTGTAATAACACTGTGCAGGACGGGGGTGGGAGTCGTGAACTACCAAATACAGATCCAAAAAGTGTCAGGTAGTACAACAAAAACTTAAAAGATCATTTTTGGAAAATTTATTATTTTTTGTACAAAGTCATGGAACAAAAGTTGTTGTTTAAGATATTAGTAATGAATATAATTTTGCGAGGTTGTCAGTATTTTAAAAATTACCTTGTATATTTCGGAAAACTCTGAAGTGCATTTTCGGATTCAAACCCACGACTCTCTTGAGAGGCGATAGGTCAACCAATTAAGCTGTATATTGAAATTTACAACTATGTTTAAAACGTCGAGAAAGAGCAGTGCTTTATAGTAACTTTTCCATTGAGACACCGACTTGAAATTAAAATCAACTCACGAAAAACGTGCGTTACGAAAAAGCCCCCTACTAGCATTGGGCAGCAGTGGTTAGCAAAGTGACGGATTACAACCTACAACCTCGCCTGAGAGGAGACCCGTGCCCTGCAGTGAGACGTATAAATGGGTTGATGATGATACATTTGAGAATGCAATACAATTTCTTTTGATAACGGTAAATAAAACATCGTGAAGGCGCATTTACTCGATACGAATCTCAGCGCGCTCACCCCGCGCGGCCGCCGCGCTGCGACCGCGTGCGTCTAGCTGTCATGGCAAAATACGCTCTGTTTGTTTAGCATTTACGTTTTAACTTAAATGAGGAATTTAAATGTTGTTATTTGATTTTTAATTCGGGACTTAATCACGTATGAAACATATTTTAATTACCTCGACATTTCGGACGTATTTCAACGTCCATGGTCTCGAAGGGACTGAAGAGGCGGGTGTCAGCATCTTCTAGCCGTGCGAGTTTTTCTAACTACATACACTTGATCTTCATTATTTATTTGTGCACTAGGGTTCTCACTAGACCGACCTAGAACGGCGAGGTAATTAAAATATGTTTTATACGTGATTAAATCCCGAATTAAAAGTCAAATAATATGTGAAAATCGTAAAAGCTTAAATCAAAATATTAAATGTTGTTGCCTAGTAAATAGAATTCAGATTCGCCATTAATGTACACGAAGGCGTGGTAACTGGGCGGTCGCCGCGCGGCGGCCGCGCGAAAAGTTTCGCCTCGTGTAAGTGGGCGCTTAGGAAACCTAAATGTCGAAAACGTTTTACAAACTGCAAACCGTTTCCTGTGAGGAGACAGACCCATCAGTGGCACGTATAATACGTTGACGATGATAAGAAAAATTGAGGTGAAATTATCTTCCACTATGTATTAATGTTAAATTGTTAAATGTAAAGCTATATGCATCTCTCTAAATTCAACGAATCGCGAAGAAATCCCACCTTTCCAATTACCAGGAAAACATTTAAATACACAAAGCGAGAGTAAAGAAGCAATATTTCATTCATTCAATCAAAGTGAGCACCCATTAAACCTCTTCAATTTCCAGAAATAGATGCTAAACATAAAACAATCGTAAGTACAAAATTGCTGTACACATCTGTTTGTAATTCCTAAAACAACATAACAAAAGCTGAACGAACGACATTGAATGTTTACAATACGAAATTACTACATGAATAATTGGAAACTAATATTAGCGTTATGTTATTGTTTTAACTGTAAAAGCTAAGTTTCGTTGTTAACACGGAAAACAAACTGTCGAAGCGGAATTTATTACACTTAATAATAAGTTTCCGCTAAACAAACGCTCGTGACAATTTTATTTTCACCTCACTAGCTCAGAAGAAAGCCTTTCTTTCTCATTAGAAATCTGCGCGCAAAAGCGTTTTTTCCAGGCTAGCCATTGACTTACAATTATATGGACGTCGGGTCCGCGCTAAAAAGTGTCTGCACTTGTAAGGCGCTAAAATCGTATACAGAGCGCCAAACTTCGCTTTAGTCTTCATTTGTTCTACTGACAGCGCGATACTGCGATGACATTACAATTTAAATTTCGAATAGGTTGACTTGGGACATTTTTTTCGTGGTTTTTGTATCAGACCCGTCGTCCATTTATTTGTAAGTCAATGAGACTAGCTAAAGTTTTTTAAATTCGAACTTGACCATGCACTGTAGTGCACCTAACTTTTTCTTACGATGAAAATAAAACATAATGACACATTCAACTACGCAATTTGTCGTACATTATTTAAGTAATATAAATCCGTTGGTATATTTTATTCTTATTATTGTTGACACTGAATTGACAACGATAACTAATTATGTTTATTAAATTGTTTTTATTCGTGGAATAACTAAAATAATTTCAATAATTTCAAGAATAAAAATTGAGGTGCAAATTCAGAACGCATCCAAAGATAAACTTTTTGTTTTGATTAAAAAAACATAGTGACAAGTTCCGGAACGCCTTAAGATTCGTCTTAAGTACATTAAGTATTTATATAATATTAATCCGTTGGTACATTTTATTCTTATTATTACTGACATTAAATTAACAACGATAACACTAATTTTGTTTTATTAGGATATTTTAATTTGTCGACAATGTGTGTAAACAATTTCGTTAATCACATAAAATTATAAGTACAAAGAAGAAGAAAACGTATGCGGTAAATTCAGAACGCACTCAAAATTAAATTTTTTTTTTTCAAATTTTCTTTATATTCATTTCAGTATTTTGGATTGGATTGTGCTGTACTAAATTGAAATGAAACAAAACATGAGGGAGTCTCAGTGTAGCGGTGATGAAAAAAAATTGATTTGTGAATAATTCAACTGTTTTTCTTTTATCTACCATTTTCCTCGATATAATTAGAAGGAAAGTTGTGAGTTTCGCTCAGCGCTGCAGATCGAAATCGATCGAGTCGTTTTGCGTCTCGTGTCTCGAAACAATCGGTACGCTCAAGATTCTATTTTTGAACCACGAGCGACTTACATTTACTTACAAGGACTTACATTGACCAGATCAGTGATGTCCTCAAAAAGGCTGGGATTCGAAGTGACAAGAATAAAAGAAGTTGTATGAAAAGGGTATAAATGAGGCTAGAAAGTTGTTTCAGGGTCAGAAATGGTTTTTCCCAAAGCTCCGGGTTTTAATCCATTTCAGAAACGGCGAATACGAAATTTGGTATAATGCCATACTTTTCTAAGATGCTCTATTAACTTGTTCAAATTCTTGTGGAAATTGTATAACTGTGTAGTGATTAACAAATAAAAACGTGCCATTGGTACATACAAGCTGTTTCATTTTTGGGTATGTTTGGAACGCTGTACAGGTATTCCACTGAGTTTTATATATATATCACCTTTTGTATCATTCTGAGTAATATCTTTCAGCACGTAATTTGTTCTCACGTACAAATCCTCCGCAAACAGGGTAAAGCCGTCAACAAACAGCCAGAATACATAAATCATAATCGCAGACCCAATATTTGCTTGATTATAAAAGGAAATTTCGCAATTAATATATTTTCAAGCGAATCGCTCGTGGGTAACATCCGAAACTTTTTACCTGAAACCAGGCTTTGCATGTTGAAATAATACGGCTAAATAAACAATACTTTTTATTTAAAAAAATGAGAACACGTGTAAACAGCGAAACTTAATAAACACAAAGTGAAAGTTAATAAAGTAAAAAAACAGGTATGAACTCAGGTTTTAAGAGGTCCACTCCAAAAGAAAGCTGTGCAGCTGATACTATTAGACTTTCGTGTACATGTGTAAGTAATCGGAACTGAGGTTACTTAGTGATGATCGTACGTAACTGTTTGTTTTTCATTTACACGTGTAGTAACAATTTCAACTCGTTGCTATTAAGAAAAATATGCTAAAAAAATACATCAAAAACACATAATATTTAACAAATACACCTTTTATTTAAATACTGACTGGCAGAAAAAGATTCTTGCAACTGACGTAATTTATAAAAATAATTTTTACATACCTGACACTCGCGAAATCTTAAATTATAAAATAAATAAATTTTATATATTTTGCCAATGTTTTTCCTATATTATTTCACATTTGATAGTTGACACCTGTCAAAAGTTGAAAATATCGAACGAAAACGATGGAGCCAATAAAGATTTTATTTTTACCAATGACGCTTTGTTTTCGCTGTTGTCCAATCATTTTAAATCTCGTTTTAATCTAACTTGCTTTTAGCTATACGATTTTTTTTTATCACTTACTCACTCTAAGAAAACTTCAAAAGATATATCTACCTAAACGTAGAACACAATTTGAAGCTTAGAAATAAATTGTTTAGTTTTTTTTTAAATATTTCCGGAAAAATTTCCGTTATATTTGAAATTTTGGGAAAATTTACCCAGCAGTAGGTTCTCATCAAATGGCTATAAAATTGTATAATAAAAATACCTCTCATAAAAAAAAATTGGACAGGACACATGTTTTATAATTTACAGGAGTTTCTAGATTATGAAAATAGATAAGATACTTAGATAAATAAGTTAAGTACTCTTACGTTGTTTGTATTTCTGTACTACTTATTGCAATAAATAATATGACTATGACTAAAAAAGCACCGCCAATAAGCTAAAAGAAGAAGAAGAAAACACCGATACACGAGCACTGCGATAACAAATAGCAATACAAAAATTTATCATCTTCGCAGAATTTACTCACATTTCTTAGAGACTTTTTTCACGCGCCTGAGGCACTGTCATACGAATATAGGCCACATAAAATAAAAAAATACAACAATACAAAAAAGTGTTGATAAACAGTTTTGACAATACCAACATGTATTACATGCTGGGGTATTTAAGAACGTTTCTGTTTGTAGCTGTTAATTTGATGCATTATACAGGACACTCGTACGCGGCACAACTTTCGCAATCACACATACGCTTCGCCGGCGTTCTGCGATCACTGCGGCTCGCTTCTCTACGGCCTGATCCATCAAGGCCTCAAGTGTCAAGGTACCACCAAGGACGTCGCTGGAGTCTGTTAACACGCTTGATTTTACTAACGCGCTTCCTTGTTCTTGCTTCGCTCTTTTCAGATATCGGTGGTGGTTTTATGCTAATGCCTTTATTTTGTAGTTCTATCATTTAAGGTACCTCCAGCTAAATTCTCTTTGTTCTTGTCTTGGGAAGTCATCCTAGCCTTCTTATCCTGACCCGTTGTAATAATATTTCTTCTTACATTTCTTGCAAAGGCCGCCTACAACCCGCATAAATGGAGTAATTGGACGTTCCTTGTACCGACGTTTTGTGACCATTGTGGAGCAATGCTCCATGGCCTTGCCCATCAGGGATTTAAATGCGCAGGTATACAACTTGAAACATTTCAACAATTCTAGTTCCTGGGGTATCCCTGTAGCAGTCAATGGAACACGCTTGAGGTTGTATGATCACTCAACCCTTGACTTCAATCGTAGTCAGAGACTCGCACGCGTAGCATGTTTGTTCAGTTCTTTTGAGAATAATATGTTATGTATAAGAGAAAGAAAAAGAAATGATATTTAACATGTTATGCGAGAAAGAGAAAAGAATATCGGCTGCACGGCGGAGCCGCTGGCTATGATGCTAAGTCTTATAGAACTTGCAACAACAGAAATGTGTATACCTGAAATAAACGGTCATGATGTGAGTCCGCACATAGTACAATAAGTGTTTCATAGCCACAGAAGAAGCAAAATGTTCCCTTAAATTCCCCGAAAATCTGTAAAATTAGTTTGGTTAATTAATTCGTTTCCAATTGCACGATCTGACTGAATAATGGAAATTGAACTTGTCGTGACTTAGCGGACCCTAGATTTAATATTGATTTAATCTCCTTGTCCTTTTGAAAGCGGCATATTGAAATGTATTAAGCCTTTGTTCCGTGTTCGAATAAGGTTTCATTGTTTAGTTTATAATAATATGTTGCCTATATCTGTGTACCCTGTGCTTTCAAGGGGAATTATTTTTGAATCACTCTTTTCTGAAATGTGACCTTTTTGTCGTTGTTAAATATTGACAATGTGGACGAGAATTAAATTTCTATTTACCTTGACTTACCCACGGAAGTAAGTTAAGATTAAAGTAAATATTAAAGATTTATTCATATGCCATTGTAAAGTATTAAAACTGTATCTACGTTTTGTTATCTTTCAAAAATGACATTTGGTCAAGTGATTTATCGATAAAGCGATTCAAAAATATACACACCCTTTACTAAGTTTTCATCTATGTGTAAATGTGTTCTCAGTACTATCGTTTTGTAGTTGGCTATAAACTTTGAACGGGAGCTGTTGCCTTGGGCATGTTGTTCATTAATTAGCAAAGTAGCTTCTTAGTTCTATTGTTTCCAACATGAAATGGAGCGGGTATGTCGCGTTTTACAAAGGAAGCAGATGATTCACATATTCATCGTCATTGTTTACTTATTATACTCATAATTTTTCCGTCATTGTTCATCTGCTAATATTTAAGAGTAATAAACCTTATCACGCCCAGAAAAGACATTTCAGTCGACGGCAATTCGATGTAGAATAATAATCAAATGAAACTACCGCTGGCGAATCGATACAGACTTTTGCAGCCGCCGTGCCCGCTTTTCAAACTCTTTGTTCTGCTATCTCGTGCTTCTGCATGCAAACGTTTTTCATTATTTGTGAGAGAACTTTTGAGTTTTTTTTTGTAGTAGCATGTTTATTGTCATCTGTGAGTAGTAGAACTATGTTCAATGTGTAATTACATGTTTTCTTTTGTTTCGATCTCTGAACGTCTCAAATTAAAATAATGAAGTAATATTTAAGTAGAATAGGATGACGTAATTATGTTGAGTTGACGTAAACCACAATTCTCGTAATGATTGCATAACTGACACTGGCAACGATCGTCATTAATGTTAAATTATTTTTACAAAACTGGAAGTGACCTAAGTGTTTCATTAGTAGATAAAATGACTACATATAAATACGTGGAGCATTTAAAGTACTGTAACTTTAATACGAGTGGGCGTGGCGCTTACCACCAGGCGCATAACTTGTATGTCCAGAACCTTGATATTATAAAATTCTGAGTTATAAACGCGTCTCTCCTGTAGGCGGAATCATAGATTTCATCGATGGCGCTTCACACATCACATCACTTTAAAAAAGAAGACGGAAATATAAACAAAAAAGTCATAATTATTAATTACATCCAGAAATACATACTACAAGTACTGGCACTCTATGATAGCCATTTTGACAGATTTCAATAGTGAGATGAAATCTCAATTCATTATCGAAAAAAATATAATCAAATGCGAGTCACATTTACAAGTTTTTACATTTATAACTAGTATTGCAAGGGGTAATTGATTAAAAAGTTTAAATAAAACGAAAATAAAAATGTTTACATAATCAGTCAATTCAAAACTGCTTTGTATTGCATTGAGTTTTGACGCGAGTTTGCCGAAGGTAGAAGTTGTGCTGGACAGCGATCCTATAAATGACGATCGTGTTAGATTTCATTTAAAAAAATTTCGAATTTCAAAAAACAAATGCCGAGTTGAGTCGTAAAATTATACGTATATAAATTTTACTGCACGTCACTATTGACAACAATGCACATCAATTAGCTCCTTCAACGTAGCTATGACTTAATACGAAACTTGATGAGCGGACAAGCGACAAAACGGCCATCATAGCGTGCCAGTTTAGTAGCAGTAGAGCTCTTTGTGAAAGAATTCATCCAGAGAAGTACCGCCATCTTACCTATTTCTGCCGCCAAGCAGTGACGTGAGCATTACTGCGGTCCGGTTTTGATGGGTAAAAGTGCTAGTGAAATTACAGGCACATGAGACTTGTCAATTTATGTCTCAGGGCAATAGAGCAATCCTATTTAAGCCTGTAAGACCTCACAAAAACAATTCACTGTCCATGCAGTTTACGTTCTCCGTTCGAAATCCGTTCACCTTTTCTTTCATAGCAAAATCGTATCATGACGTGCCATTTGCCATTCAAATGGCGGTCTCATCTGTAAAAATAAGCGATTCAAAAAAGTTACTCCGTGAGTAACTTTTTTAGATATTGTTACATTTTTCAGTAGTTTCGCCTAAGTTTTATTATATTTTCAGTTTCATAATTATTTGTTATCTTTCTATGTTATATAGCCAATTGTCAATAAATAAAAACTATTAACTATTTAGCGTTTCTTGAAAATTTTGGTTCGAGTTTCCAATCTTTTAAGTATTGTTGATAAATTATGGGCATGAATGTTATTGCAATTTTTAAATGGAATATTAATCATTTTAATAATTTTATTGACTTAGCGAAAATCGTAAAATAACTTTTAAATAGTGCCAAATTTTACTTTAATGCAATCAATGAAAATGTACGAATACAAGATAAGTTCCAATTATGTTATCAAATTACAAACTCACCTTCATTGACTTACAATTATATGGACGTCGGATCCGCGCTAAAAAGTGTCCGCACTTGTAAGGCGCTAAAATCGTATACAGAGCGCGACAGTCTTCATTTGTTCTACTGACAGCGCGATACTGCGATGACATTACAATTTAAATTTCGAATAGGTTGACTTGGGACATTTTTTTCGTGGTTTTTGTATTAGACCCGTCGTCCATTTATTTGTAAGTCAATGCTCACCTTATTAATTTCAATGATAATGACTAGACATGACTTGTAATTTTGTCGTACGACGAATTGTAAAGTATGATTGAAAAGTTGCCGATATTACAAAACAACGTAATAAGTATAATCAATAATAAAATTAATAAAAAAAATATAATTATTCTCATTTTGAACACAATCGGTTAATAGTGCTTGAACGCTCCCAGGATAGTACATCTGTCTATTTCTTTCATATGTTTTAGTATGTAGTTCCATCTCGCTCTTGTTAGATGTCAGCTAGACAGCCAGAGACAATTAACGTTTAAAAAGTAGAACTCATCATCCTGTCATGCCATTCCCGTTCAACTTTGTGTAGGTCATAGTAGTCTCACAAGCCATTAAAAAAATTACACGAATTTAAGCGATTCAGTTTTACCAGGCCAAGTGAATTGCATGAGACTTGGCTGGCTGCCTATAAGCTCATAGTAGGCCCCCAGGGCGCAGCGGCAGTACCCCTCCGATCTTTCGTTATGTCTCTGGCACAGCAACTGCTATGGACAGGCGTGTCGCTTACCACCAGGTGCGTGATTTGCTCGTCCCGTCACTTGGTATCATAAAACAAAAAGCGTAAAAAACAGAACTGTACTAAGGACTACATTTCCAGTCGATTGACTGGGCCGATTGAAATAGTGTGAAAAGCACTTACATATTTTACAAAGGTCAGACCGTTATAAAAGCTCTATTAAAAAGCACTCTGTGACAAAAGCACGTTGTATTAATTAAATTACACTGCTACGCAGCTGTTCTTCTGAGAATTCGTAATTATAAAAATAATAAACCATTGTCTCCTACCCCGTTTCATTTCAGAATAATTACAAGTAGAAAACTGGTTAAAATTCGACAAGACAACGTAAATGAATTTTCAAACATAAATTTTCTTCGCTCAATCCGTTTTGCATGATAATTTTGTAGATTTGAATGCGTCTTTTTGTTTTTGTGTTTACTAAATGCTTTTGTTTACAAACAGGTGAGTTGAACTTGACGCAAGTTAACTTGTACATGTAAGATGTCGACGAAATCGGTCCAATATCAAAACTAAAATTTTTGAGGTTTATTTAAAGCTTTCTTTAAAAAATATGATATTGCTAGATTTCGTAGACACACTGTAATGTATTTTTTTTTTTTGGTTGGTTACATCCATCTTCTACCAAAGCTGAGCATGGAAGCGTTGCATTTATGTGACATATCACAGCTTCTTAATAAAACAGCCAAAGCTGCTCCGCTTTGGTTGATTAATCAGCCTAACAATACATTTAATATATGTATTTTATACCTTTAATGTTGACCACAATTTTATAAAAATAGCACTAATATTCTTAACGAAACTCGAAGTTTGGAGTCTCAACTTAACATACCTATTAATGACAAATTTATTCGAATCGATCAATCGTAACTCTGTCATGATCTGCGGTGTACGGTGGTGTACCCGATAGACCAATGATGAGCGCGGCAATGTACGGGATATGACCAAAAAAGGTCCTGACAGCGTTCCAGCAGATTACGGCAAGACGGTACTATAACACGATGTTGATAAAATCCAGCATGCGACATGAACGTGCACAAGCGATGCGAGGAGTCCGTCCCGAATCTGTGCGGCTGCGACCACACCGAGAGGCGCGGGCGCATTCAGCTCACCATCACCTGCCACCACAACAAGCTTATTGTCGAAGGTAATATCACTTTCTTAAGTTTTTTAGACTAGGCAACTCTCAATCTCACCAAAATTGATGATTTGAAAACTTAAAACTTGTATCTTCACCGAGTAACGAAGTCATTTCCATTTCAGTCTGACTTTCCGCGATAAGTTCCTTCCTTCAAGATTTTTTTTTCAAATAATTGACATGTAAAAAGTTCTTGTAGATTAACTCACATTCAATGAATATCCTGAGGTATAATGTTCCAAATCAGGTCTATAATTACGTGTAGTAGTAGCTTCTAGGTAAACAAATTCCGTCACAGACGCGTTGCTGTCTAAGAAAAAGATGTCACAAAGCAACAATCCACTCTTACAGTGAAGCAAGGACGCAACCTCATTCCCATGGATCCCAACGGACTTTCGGACCCATACGTCAAGATGAAGCTGATTCCGGACTCGGACAATGTCAAGAAAAAAACCAAGACCATCCGCAGCACGCTCAATCCTGTGTGGAACGAGACTCTCTCCTTCGATCTCAAGCCCGAAGACAAAGACAGACGGCTCCTGATTGAGGTATGTGTTTTATCTTTCCAAAAACGAACTTTTTTTGCGTTCTACTAATAATTTTTTACCAAAAAACCAAATAAAGCTCAAGAAGAAGCTTGATGCTGTATTCCAAAAGAGGTAAACATGTCAAGAAGAAATAGAGCAAGGTCCAGAGTCTATAAAATGGTGTCCATTGCGATAAGTTTGATAGTAATATCCATTGTATGTGTAAGTATTTTTGTGAGATCTATGTAGACGACAGGGTATATCTTCGGTCTTTTGTAGAAAGGGTATAAGCGATATTTCGTAGATTTTTTTACAAGTGAGCATTTTTTTATGATTCTTAGTGACGGGACGAACCAGTCGTGGGCCTGGTGGTAAGCGCCAGGCCTGTCCATAACAGTTGCAATGCCACTCAGAGATTTAAAACGCAAACGCAAAAATCTGAGGGTCACGACCTCTGCGCCCGTCACCCTGAGTCATATAATAAATTGACTGTCTCATGTGTCTGTAATGTCACCAAAATGTAAGACTTAAACCTTAAACCAAAATTAATTTAAAACAGGACCACGATTAATTTAGCACAGGTCACAGGCACTATATGCGATCGAAGAATGCCCGTTAAGCTAAAGAGGAAAATATACAAGACCGTGATTAGATCTGTCATATTGTATGGATCAGAATGTTGGGCGATGAAAATGGAGGATGAACGAACTGTGCATGTGGCGGAAATGCGAATGTTGAGATGGATATGTGGAGTGCCGAGAAAGGATAAGGTAAGGAATGAGTACATCTGGAGAAGTTTGAAAGTGGAGTCAGCGACGGAAAAGATGACGAGTAATAGGCTAGCGTGGTATGGACATATCATGCGGAGGCAAGAATGTCATGTGACGAGTGCTAGGTATGAATGTGGAGGGATATAAGCGGAAAGGAAGGCCAAAGAAAAGATGGGTGGATTGTGTGAAAGATGACATGGATAAGAAAGGTGTAAGAATAAAAATGACGGCTAATAGGGGAGAATGGAAGAAAAATACATGTTGTGCCGACACCACCTAGCGTGGGAGAAGGACAAGAAGAAGAGAAAGAAGAGAGTCGTTAAAATGTAAAACTTGCTCGTTATAATTATTAATACAAAGATCGAACATTAAGAAAAATTCCTTTAATATTAATTAAGAAATAGGATCTTAGTGTTCGGTCTCTATACTAATAACTATAAAAAACTAATGGAGTAATTTCACAAAGAAAAATTTGTATACAATGGTAGTGAAACATTGTGACTTCGTACTAACACACGCTCCCCTGAAAAAATCTACAAAATCTCGCTTACGCCGTTTCTACAAAACACCGACGATATTTAACGTTCCGAATGAAAATTGATTTGAAGGACGATTTATTTTGCTAAAATATATTACAATTTACTGGTCAAATGTTCACACTTACTTGAAACTGAGACCGGCGCTTCATTGTAAACAATTTCCAATTGTATAGCTATCGGTGCCTCTACAGATCCTTTATTTTGTAGCTTCCCGTTTGCTAACACAGCGATCGAGTTTACGTGTAAAATTTGCCGCTACCAGATGCCTAACAAACGCTGCTGCTACCAGTTACCACAAAGTTTTTACGTTTTAAAATTGTTGTTGAAGAACACAGGCCTTTAGTTTGAGAACTCTTACCATTTGATCGACGGTTTAACGTTACAAACGTATTTGAATGCATTTCATTTTAAATTATGCCTTCAGTTCTTAAAAACTGTATATATTTTTTCACAGATATTTACTACAGTATACATTTTCCATAAATACCACTCATAAAATCCTCTCCTGTGTCATCGAAGATTGACTACATACAGCTGTACCCTATTTTTCTACATTCATAATTCCAGATATGGGATTGGGACCGCACATCCCGCAACGATTTCATGGGTTCCCTTTCTTTCGGAATCTCCGAGCTTATGAAGGCCCCAGCTGACGGGTGGTTCAAGTTGCTCACTCAAGAAGAAGGCGAGTTCTATAACGTGCCAGTGCCCGAAGAAGGGGCTGATTTGGCCCAGTTGAAGAACCAGATGAGGGCCACAAGTGTGGGTGCTCGCAGGGCCCCACCACCGCCAGATCGAGAGGTCCCACACAACATGGCAGCTGCTGATGTCATTCGTGCAAGCGATTTTAACTTCATTATGGTACTCGGCAAGGGTTCTTTTGGAAAGGTAATTTCTTCTTACTTTATCTTCTGATTTTAAAATCCCAAACTGTGCTTAACGCTGAGATAAATTAATCCGTTATTCCCTCACTTTCAGGTTATGCTAGCAGAGCGCAGAGGTACTGACGAGCTGTATGCTATCAAGATCTTGAAGAAGGACATCATCATCCAAGACGACGACGTAGAGTGTACCATGGTTGAGAAACGTGTTCTGGCTCTGAGCAGCAAGCCACCTTTCTTGGTGCAACTGCATTCTTGCTTCCAGACTATGGTGAGTCACCATTTCCAAAAAAGGAACAGGAATAATCGTAGAATATAAGGGTTTCTTCAAACTATACGACTGCTTTTTTATAGCAAATACTTCGACGGTCCACCTGTTGGAAAGTGATAACCGCCGCCTGTAGGTACTAAAGAACTTAAAGACCTTAATGCCGCAAATGCATTTCCGATCGTGTGACAAAAAATCTTCAGTCTTTTGTGCCAGTCTCACGTCTGTTGGAAGAGATGCAATTCAGATCACAGAAGTACTGCTTTGCAGCAGAAATTGGCACGCGGATTCTAACTCTTCTTATAAATTAATTTATAAGCACTTTTCCTGTTATTATTACTAACAAATTATGGAACTCGTTGTCTGAAATAAAATAATTTTATTTTTTTTTTATTTAAATATTTATTGTTTTCTATTAATGATAATCTAGAACAACATCTTTGCAGAAAATGTGTGGCGGTACGAATGTGGTAGATAAATAATCAGTCTTGTGTAGCGCGTTAATAACAGTGGTCTACTGTCAGCTATTTCGTTTTCATACATATTGCGAGGCAATAATAATATTGTCATTTCGTACAAAAGATGTTTTACCGAACTTCTAAACAATTTGAAACCACTAAGCTTAATTTCAGGATCGACTCTACTTTGTGATGGAGTACGTCAACGGCGGAGATCTGATGTTCCAGATTCAGCAGTGCGGAAAATTCAAAGAGCCTGTTGCTGTGTTAGTTTCCTTTTTAGTTACATGTTTAACAATAATGAAAGTTAGTCTTAACAAACTGTAACACTAAATTAGTGGAACGTCGACTTCGAAGCAACGGGTATGTCATGCGTGAACCATTTTTAATTGTGCAATGATAAAGATGTGAAACAAACATGGATAGCAACCGAAGAAAAAAAAAACACTTCCATTTTGGTTGCATTCCCCTTTCCAGCTCTTAAATTTCTTAATCACTTAAAGAGAAATTTAGGAAATTTAAAAAATTGCTACTTAGCATTACGGCCGCCTGTTGGACATTAGCCCACTCTGTGATATTTAAATTACATATATAACATGAGAGTTGTAAAAACATCAAGTGACGGGACTAACAAGTCGTGCGCCTGATGATAAACTGCACACCTGTCCATAACCGTTTGTAGTGCCATTTAGAACTTTAAATCGCAAAGATCTAAGGAGCACTGCCACTACGCCCGTCACTCTGAGACATAAGTTGACAAGTCCCATGTGCTTGTAATTTCACTAGCACCCTTACCCTTCAAAACCGGAACACAGTAATGTTGACATTACTGCTTGACGGCAGAAATAAATAAGGTGCCGGGTACTATCCTGGACAAATACTTTCACAAGGAGTTTTACTGCTACGTAAAGTGAAGTCAACCACATAAGCCGACTAAAGTTAGAAAGGGAAGTAGAGTAACAAAAAAATCGTAATAAAGTGCTTTTCAATTCCAGCTTTTATGCAGCAGAAATAGCGATCGGTCTATTCTTTCTACACTCTCGCGGAATCATTTATCGAGACCTTAAACTGGACAACGTTCTTCTCGACCAAGATGGCCATATCAAAATCGCTGACTTCGGCATGTGCAAGGAAGGAATTACCGGTGACAAAACCACCAAAACCTTCTGTGGTACCCCAGATTACATTGCCCCGGAGATCATTTTATACCAGCCCTATGGAAAATCTGTGGACTGGTGGGCGTATGGAGTTTTGCTATATGAGATGTTGGTTGGGCAACCACCGTTCGACGGTGAAGATGAAGAAGAATTGTTTGCTGCTATCACTGATAATAGTGTCTCGTATCCGAAAACGTTGAGTAAGGTCTGTGAATTTGGTTTTTCTTTTTCATATTCGTAACGCCTTATATTTATTTTTTTAAAGGTTAGCCTTTAATGGGTATTCTACCCAGACCCAGTAAACTCAAGCGGGCAAATATGCAATTAATAATGTGCATTATTAATTGCTTCAGGCCCAAGTAAATATGCTCTCAATTTTGTATGAAAAACACATTGACTTACAAATAAATGTACGACGGGTCTAATACAAAAACCACGAAAAAAATGTCCCAAGTCAACCTATTTAAATGTAGTGACATGGAAAGAAAATATGAAAAAGCTAAAACGTTGAATTTAAATTGTAATGTCATCGCAGTACTGTCTGATTTTGCTTGCTTCGCTGTCAGTCGAACAAACGAAGACTAAAGCGTGAATGACGCTCTGTATACGATTTTAACGCCCTATAAAATCGGACACTTTTTAGCGCGGACCCGACGTCCATATAATTGTAAGTCAATGGAAAAACATAAATTTTATAAATACTCTATGGTTATGTAGAATATAGAGCGCTAATTTGTGTAAGTACTGGACAATTACATAATCATAGGAATAGTAATAATAGGAATAATAATGTCTGGGTCTGAGTCACTTCACATAATTATGTACATTTTGATGTACATGGGGCCTTAGGATGTAAATATAATATGGAACACACTTTATTTACAAACCCTCCGTTGTGCCTTTTTATGTAACTATGAGTATGGACCAAGAGAACTGCTAATCGTGATTAGCGATGGGCGAGTCGAGTTATTTAACTCGGTTAACTCGAGTTACTCTTACAACAAGTCAACTCGAGTTACTTTTTCATGAACTCGAGGTTCGGTACCCGCCCCGCCGCCGAGCCGAATACTTCATCCATACAGGGCGTCGCGAGCGATGGGCGAGTCGAGTTATGTAACTCGAGTTACCCCCACGAGTCAACTCGACCTACTTTTTGTGAACTCGACTCGGCGAGTCGAATATTTCATTCATAAAGCGCGTCGGTTATTTGTTCTCGCTCGGTCGGTTCGGCGACCTTCGAGCACGCTCGAGTCGCGGTCGGCAGGCCGATTGTGCCCAGCTCGGTGAATCGTCTATTCGAGTTCCACTCGCGACTCGCGGTTACTCTGTCAGACACCGAGTCGAGTTAACTCGAATTGCAACTCGAGTTAAAAATCTCAAATAGAACGGACCTTTCTGGAAATAGAAAAACGTTAAATCCACAATAAAGAAAACACTTTCCTGTACTAAATTGGTTTTTATCAATGTCAACTTTCATTCCTATAAAATTCTACGCTGTTTGTGATATTGAATGACATGTCTGTAAATTATACTGTATTGTAATTAGGTGTCTAAATATATCTTGTGTTATAGGAGGCAAAGGACGCGTGCAAGACGTTCCTGACCAAAAACCCCGTGAAGAGGCTGGGGTGTGGCCCGCGGGGGGAAGAGGACGTTCGCACGCATCCGTTCTTCCGCCGCATCGACTGGGCCCGCGTTGAAGCTAGAGAGATCCAGCCACCCTTCAAGCCTAAGATCGTGAGTAATTTCTCTAATATAATTTCTTTAATTCGTGAAAATGCAATAAGGGCCATCCGGTATTTTTACTTTATAGAAAATATTGATACAAAATAAGATTACACATAACATAAATGTAAACAAGTCAAATAGCATCCCCGAATTAGATACTGGTAAAGTAATTGTCCTTTCGGATAAAATAGGACGTGGTATTACTAAACATATCAAGAACATTAGTTCAGCAAGTCAAGTAACAAATATTTGCAAACCGGGAGCATTCGAAGAAATTGTCAGAGACGCAAAATGTTATACAAAAACATTGCCGGAAAAAGATCTTCTGGTCATCTTAGTTGCTGACTATGTTGGGATACATCACAACCATGCTACGTACAATAAACTTTTAGAACAGTTGTTAAACAGTCAAAACTTAGTATGTAAAATAGTTATAAGCAGTATCTTATATGATAATATAAATGACAAAATTATTTATGCAGTTAACCAAAAGATAGCACATCTAGCCTCATGAACGGACAGAGTTCAATATCTGGAATTAAATTCACCTACAATATCTAAAAAATACAACAAGCGTGAAATTGCTAAGACCATTGTAAACTGTTACACGATGTGCCGTGACTCGGCAAATTTGCGTTTCATTACATTGCAGGATGACAATACCACAATAAACCATCATTCAAATTTTATCAAAAGTTGCAACAAGATAAAAGGGTCTTAGTTTTAATTCACTCTAACGTTAAGAGCATAAATAATAAGTACTTAGATTTGCTAATTCCGTTATATGTCTATGTTTAAGTGAAACCTCAACCACTGAAGCGCAGATAAATGTAATGAATATAATATAGGGTATGTAATATAGGGGGTTGCAATTTTTGTAAAAAACGATACTGATTACAAACAACGTTAGGATATTAATAAACTATCATTCGAAATGAACTGTGAGGTATGTGCTGTTGAGATAAAATCGCCAAAACTGGTATTGTTTGCATGTATCGCCCAGATTATAATTTTGATATTTTTCATAATGTTCTTAGTATTATCATGAATAAAGTAACCAAAGAAAATAAAAAAGATATGATATTAGCTGGCGATTTCAATTTGAATGTATTGGAAGGTAACAAATATAATAAAAATGGAGTTAGAAAGTTCAAGAATGAGCTACGGAATTACAATTGTCACTACTCACTAGACACACCCACTCGAACTGAAGGTTCAAACTCAACGTGTATTGACAATTTTACTGTTACTTTGATTGTATACATCATAATATCCTTATGTGTAAGCTTGAGTATTACGGTCTGGATCAGGATCCAGGATAGTTTTAATGCAACAGGTTGCATTAAAACTATTAAATAGCTTTTTGAAGGATAGGAATCAATTGGTACAAATTGAAGAATCTGTTTCTGTACTGGGAAAGTCTGACATGGGGGTACTACAGGGATCTGTATTGGGCCCTATATTATTCCTAATATATATAAACGACTTGCCAAACAGCTTGCCTAAGTGGAGCTTTGTAAATTTATTTGCTGATGACACCCATGTCGGTATAAAAGGTAAGATAAGAGGAAGTTAAGGCACAAAAAGTTGATGAAGTAGTTAGCCTATTAGACGAATGGTTTACTGCTAACGATATACTACTGAATAAAAATAAAACAACTGTTGTGAAATATTGCTCGGGAAAACAACGTACGGTAGATTTTAAATCAAATACAAAATTTTAGGCTATGCTATTGATAATACTTTGAGTCATCAAACTTATATCAATAATGTGTGTAATGAAATAGCAGGTGGAAATTATGCACTTCTTGAATTAAAGCCATTAATCGATAAAAAAAAATTGTTGACTGTGTATTATGCATACATTCAATCGATAATAAATTACGCTGTGACAATTCGGCAACGAGGCAACGGCGCCAATGTAAAACGCGTTCTGGTGCTACAGAAAAGATCGATAAGAATAATCAGTGGTATCTAAAGAAGAATATCCGCAAAAATCTTTTTTGTTAAATTGGGGGTCATGGCAGTAATATCATTGTTTATTTTTAATTCCTTGAAGGAAGTACATAAAAAGAAGATTAACTTTAAAAGAACCAGAGATATACACATTTACAATACTAGAAAGAAAGAAAGACTGGTAGTACCAAAAACGAGATTGAAAAGAACTGCTAAGCAAGGTTATTGTCTAAAGATAAAAATATACAATGAACTACCACCGAATACATTCGAATTGCTCGAATTCAATATTTTAATTTATGTGTATGTGTGCAAATCTTTGAATTTAGTTATAGGTAGTACATTAAATGTTAGTAGTGAACGACTGATAAGATATTTTGTACTATTGACGTGCTAAATGTTACGAGTTTTGTGACGTGGCAAATAAAGAATTTGAATTTGAATATTTATTTTCAAGTGTTAGCTGTATACTGACAGTCTTTAAACAGGTTTTCGCTCATTTGGTGTAACATTAACATAATTGTAATTTTGGCAAAATTGAATTAAGTATGTTAACACATCTGTAACATAACATAGTACAGTCTTTTTTGAATGTCGGTTAAATACTTGAAAGCCCTTGGCACAAAATTCCAATAAGAAAGAATATCTTTGTTTCGCTCGACACAACAATAATCTCTATAACACGTGACTTTAGAGTTTCATAATGTTATAGAGAGCGACATAGTCGCTCCTCGAGCTCAAAATGTAAAGGTTTAACTTTAGTCATTTTACAGTGACATCTTCAGGAAGATATTGTGAGAACCATAATGCGTTTACGACGCCATAGGAATGTAATTACGGCTACAAAGCTGTAAGAATTATTAAAAAGAAGCTATAATGACTCTGTTTGCATGAGCGTCGTAATAATGCTCATTTATTAACATGCTCTGCTTAGGAAATGAAACTATTTTTTCAGCTCTGAATCGCGTATATTCGTTTTTTCGTTTCGGGCCCTCTGTAAATCCTATGGTCACATCAAGTAGATGTTTTTTCACACTTACAATATATTTTTTTAAATTAGGTACGTTCATAGTCATATTATAATGTAACAGCAAATGGTGACGACGTGTGATGTGATATTAACTAAGTATTTGTCTTAACAGAAACACCGCAAAGACGTGTCCAACTTTGACAAGCAGTTCACTCAAGAGAAGACAGAGCTGACGCCAACTGACAAGCTATTCATGATGAACCTGGACCAGACAGAGTTCATGGGATTCTCCTTCCTCAACCCCGAGTTCGTGCAGCACGTGTGAATCACAGGTATTGCATACTTTATAGCCTAGGTATTAATATCTTTTGAAGACATATAACAATTTCATTCAAAAATGGCATAAACTAAATAATATGCGTTGATACGTTATTTGATTTATGTAAATAGGTCCTTGGATCTAGTAAGCGTTACCTCTAATATTAAGTTGATAAATTGCTAAAAATCCTGCCTGATTTACCTTTTATTGCAGGGTTGAAACTCATCGCATCGTTGAAATTGAATCATTCGTGACGCGTTCGATTTCGAATCGCTGCTGTATCCTGCATATATCTCTCTCACTCATATGACGAACGTCGTTTGCTGTCTCACTTTTGACTGTACATTGTGTTAAGTTTGAACTTTGTGTCTTTACATAACAAGTCTGGGCCAGAAACTTTTGAATGTAACGTAATAAGGCTGTAAATGACTTGTTGTGTCGGTTTCATGGAGAAATCTAAAATTATTAACCTTTTTTGTGAACGAGAAACACCATTTTGTAGGTGTAAGTAAGGGAAGACTAGAAATTTTAATCATTTGCTCATTTCCCTTGTATCTTTTTTAAGACAATCATTTGCGTAAGTATATCTCCATCCAATGCGACATGACGCTAGGTAAAATGATATTTTTAATTTATTTCTATCGTATTATTAGCAACTTATGGTTATTTAATTAATAATTTCCGCAATAATTTATTTATCCGTGCAATAATAATGAGATACCTCAACGAATTTCTAAAAGCAATACTGATTTGTATGTATTAATTGTTTCGTATGTATCTAATAATGAATTTAAATTTTGCGGGCTCTCTAAACATTATTAACGTCATTGTAGATATTTCACGGTGTTACTAATATGTAAAGTAAGTCAACATACTCACTTTGTTTTGTAGAATCTCGGGAAAAACTCTGGTATATCGTGAACTTGGGGCCACTTGGTAATTTAGTAAATATTCGTTTCGTCTGTTTCATGTATTTGTAATGTATGATGCCAAAAGCGAGTAATTGCCTAGTTTGTTTTCATTTTGTAGTGCTCTAACGAAATTGATGTAACTTGAATATTAGGTATGGCAAATTTGATATGTCGGTTTTTCTATTGGCCAAAACAATCTTTAAAAATACAAACCAATCGATATATTACAAATCTAATCTAATTGTGTACGTCTGTTGGTGTAACTTGTAAATAAACCAGGCAAATGTCTTGCATAAAATCTCACATCAGCCACATATCAATGTCGTAATTGTAAATACTTGTCGTGTCGTGTGGATGGCATCGCTAACTTTAGCCATTAGGATTGTTTTTAGGCCTTTTGGACACACGATGTGGATCAATCGCATTTTTACTTACTGACCTTTATTGTTTATTTACTAATATATTCAGTATTATATTATGGTGTATTTGAGCTTATAAAGCTAGTTTTTTTTTTTCTTTTTAATGGAGTATCTATCAGTTTCCTCACATTAAATTGAAGTTAAAAAAACAATGAATTTATTTATAATCCGTTGTATTTGTTATTTTAATTATTAATTTTGAAATCTCCAAAAAATGCTCTGTTATACTTGCATAACTGGTTTTATTGTTGACGTCGTTCATCGGCCATTTTGGAAAATTAAAAAATCAACAAACATGGCCAGTATTATTAAGTTTTTTTACGGCTGTAAACAGGCTGTATAAATTTAAGTTTTCATTGTCTATCATGAAGTGTTGTTTTTTATTAATATTATGCATTTAACATTTAAGTATTATTTTGATTCACAACTGCGGTTGAATTTTGTGATTGTGTGATCTAATCAACTATTTTTGTGTAAGAGTGTTTTTATCATTGTTTGTGTGTGAGAACATGGTGTGTGTGTGTGACTTGAATGTTGTGGTGTTACTCGACGACAAAATATTGTTACTCAACTATCGTTGACTTGTGACATCTTTACACTTTTCTATCTACTTTTTACTTGTTAGAAATATTTCGTTCATGTTTTCTCTTGCATCATGGAGTGACACCACAAAAACAGATTTTGGCTGTATTAATCGTCTACTAACTAGCCTTATTAACTTAATTGTAACGTCGTTAATAAAATACATTTAATAAATCGTATAACACTTGCTAGAATTAAATTAATGTGAATTTAAAAAGAAAAAGCATTTGATTCTAAATTGGATTGTAATAAAATGACATTTTAGGTGTTCTTTATTTTTGTAATTCTATCGTTCCTTTTGCAAAGTTTCGCAATATCGATGTGGATTGAATCGATTTTTGAAATCGATTTTCTGGATATCGATATTTTCTATCGAAACTTTGTGATTGCCGTGGGTATGTGAATAGCCGAGTTAGGTCGGAACACGGTTTCAGTATAAACTATATTAGATGAATAGTGGTTAATTTCTACTATTTTTAGGCTTAGTTATAATTTAGGCGCACTGGCTCATTTTCAAGCAACATTGTAAGCACTAACTTTTTAGAAATAACGACAGTTTCATATAACTGTAAATGTATCTAACAAGCCGCGAAAGGCAACTTATACTAGATACCTACTTTATTATTCTAAAAAGCGATAGAAATGTTAAACATTATGAAACCAATTCTAATAAAAAATAGACACGTTGACGTACTCGAATAAAAACAATATAAAAACTTTAGGAGAAAATGGGCCTGCTGTGTAGACTAAAACAGCTGGTGAGGGAGACAAAGTAGAGCGCTGACGCGCTACCCGCGTACACTCCTGACGGCATACTTCGGTATACAAACATAATATTGGCGTACAAATAAACAGAATATAATAATAACTGGGTAGCGACTATCTAATCGAGAGATAATGGGGAAGCTTCTTCACAGAGCTATGGGATTTTTAAGAATAAATCTTTTTAATCATTATTGATGGTTAAAAACCTGAAATTATGAAAACAAGGGACGCATTCGATTTTTATGAAGATCAAAATCAAGTGTATACGATCTAGCGATTTTTTGTATCGATTCATTTCAATGCGATTTCTAAGCAAATCGATTAAACATTAAGGTGAATCGAGTCGTCTAGATCGTATTCATAATTAAAACAAAACAGTCTCTTTCTGGACACCTACCGATACGTAACGCTAATCCTATTTTATATTGATCTGCAAAAAAAGTAGTCTGCCTGCATCTAAGAACGATATTTGGCGATTGTTGGTACTCGAACGATCAAAATTGATTTTGAAATTATTTTTATGAGATCAATTCAAAAGCATTTGATTCGATTTGTGGATCCATTCAGAGACATATGATCCATTACGATAAAAAAATTCGATTGAAAGAAAAAAATCGTGCATCCCTAACCTTGGAGGACTTCGCATATAAAGTCATTTTTATCTCAAGAATTCGTTAAAATATATTGTAACTACCGAGTATTAAACAGAAAGATTGACTTACAAATAATCGCGTACAACGACTGTGTGACACATACGAGGCGATGTCTCAATTAGATAGTTAATTGCTACAGTATTCTGTGTCCGGATTTTAAACGGAGGCTAATTGCGGATTGTTGTCAACAATTATCATCATGTTTGATGCATGCAAGAATAATTACTGGGGCGATCTAAACTTAAAAATTAAAAAAAACACTGTCTATTACAAGAATTGTACATATGTCACAAGTTTGCAGTGAAAATGTATATTTGTGATTTAACGAGTACTTTAAAATGTTTTGACCAACTAACAGTGAACGTTGCTATGCGTGAATTTGAATGGTCACCATTGTCAAACAACTATCAACCCTATACGACATGAAATAAATTGTACAAGGTAGTTGTAAAATAGTAAGTATCTCGCAGGACTGTAGGTATTACTAACATCATAAACAACAACTTTTGTTCCATGATTTTTAATAATACATCAGATTTTACTTTCGTACTACAAAATAGAACACTCAAACAGTCTCTAAACGTGTATGGAGTACTGCCACCTATGGGATGGCTGTGCTACATACCAACTGGCCACCTTAGACTCAATTGACAAGCGTGTCAAGAGGCTTATAGGTGACTCAGAATTAGAGGCGAAGCTGCAAAGCCTTGAACACCGTCCTAAAGTTGCCTGCTTATCGGTATTCTACAGCATTTATCACGGAGAGTGTGCGAGAGAATTGCACGAATTAATTCCACCTTCTCCTTTCCATGATCGGGGAACCAGGCGTAGGCTGGGGTTCCACCCCTATGTTGTGGATATTCCAAGAATTAGCACGAAGCGCTTCGCTTCCACATTTATATGGCGAACGGCTATGTAGTAGAATTCCCTGCCAGACTGGTTCCCTAAACGTTACTACTTGGACCTTTTGAAGGCGAGAGTGAATAGGCATTATTTATATGTTTATGCTCCATCGTCGACTTCATCGTCACTTTCCATCAGGTGAGATGGAAGTCAAATACGCACTTTGTTTTACACATTTGTTTTATTTTACACAAATTTTGTATACACGTAAATACCAAACCACGATTTATTTTACATACCAAATACGGATTCAAAAAGTGTCGGATAGTACGACAAAAACTTAAAAGTTTATTTTTGGTAAATTTATTATGTTTTGTAAAAAGTCTTAGAACAAAAGTTGTTGTTTATGATGTCAGTGATATAGTCCTGCGAGGTTGTTGATATTTTGCAAATAACCTTGTTTATGAAAGCACGTTTTCATCAAAGCAAGGAAAAAATACATACATATATTAATATGAAGAGGCTGTATTTGAGAAGCTTTGCCTACCCAAATAAATGGGTGACTGTAAGGCTCAACTCACACTGGCGCAGAGTCGAAGCGTCGCGTCGCATTCTGTTTTTCAATTACAACGCATGCCGAACACGCGAAGGCGCGCGTCCATATTTGCATAACACAAATTTGTACCTTAATAATGGGAAAATAGAGACGAATACGCTATAGGCGAAAAACATGACGCGTTGTGACGACTCGACTCTGTGCCAGTGTGAGCTGAGCCTAAAAAAAACACAGAAATCGTTTTCGTACAAGAGTAATTGAATCGTCTAAATAAACGGCGACCTTAGCCGATAGTACCACCCCGTACCATCCTTGTAGGTTCGTACGCACTGTTGTAATTCCGAATATCATCTGTTTAGTAGAACAAATTAATGAAAGAATGAGACGGAAAGAGAAGAGATGAAAACTACCGTCCACTAACTAAAATAACCGTTTTTTTATTTCAACATTTTCCTGAGCTCGAGTCCGTCACACACATACTTATTCTTATTTAACTTTGATTTATTCTTTTTTTAATTATAATTATTATGTACTATTAATTAATTTTGTTAATTGTATAAAAAGAAATACTTTTTTCTCATTTCTGGAAATATTTTTTTTTGTTATGTGTGTGGAAATAAATGGTTTAAATGGTTTTAAATAGCAAAAAATAGAGCACGAAATTATTTTTTAAAAACAGTTAAAATTAGTTAACGTGTTCGACTTATCGGAATTTACCTTAACGATCATTACATAACAATTTCAATATTCTGCATCTGTATTTCCCGAAAAGTACAATTTGGGGCTATTCAAGGCTGGAGTGAATAGGCATTTTTTTAGGCAAACGCGTCCCATCGTCGGTCACATCGTCGCTTAACATCGGGTGAGATTGTGGCCAAGCGTGTGTCTATTATATATTTTAAAAAAAATAATTCTAAAATCATAACCCAGTATGATTTTTTATGATACTTATTTCAAAAAAATATTTTGTCAGCCATATTTTAGTCAGCGGACGGCAGAAAATCTGTCTTTGTTTTTCACTAATAAATTCTTTTTAGAACAATGTACACATTGTTACAGCGTTCGCGCTTATTTTTATGGGATTTTTATTTGTATTTCATAGATTTTATTTCACATAAATGTGTTACCCGCTTGGGTTTGGAAGTTGACAAATAATATAAGTATTATTATTTTAAGTCATTATAAAAAATTTTAAGGACAACAGTGTTTACGAAAAATTTGACTCCACCATGCTAAATATTCGCTTAGAATATTGAAAATTTATTTAATGTTGTAGTTCTTTTGATATTTTAGTAATTTTATCGTTGCTGTATAATGTTTAGAAATATTGAGCAAAACTGTGACGTTGCTACAGGGTTACATAACAAAGTCAAGGTGGTGAGGTCTTTCCGAGATCAAACATGCAAAATTTGACAATACATTTTATATTTGATGTATAAGGGTAACATTTGCTGGAACGCTAACGAATATTTATTCACTCATTCATTCATTCGTTCATCACAGTCTGTTTTGTATGAAAGACAAACAACGATGTGCTCCTCTGGATTGTGACGTCACAGCCTTGCATTTTTTTTCAAGGGATGACACAGTCAGCACCCTAAGATATTTAGGTTTAGGTCTTTAACAGTTTAAGTAAGAGCCAATCGTGAACATTTTTGCGTTAGAACATACTGTACAAGATGTATCTAGAACCCAAAATACGACCACGTTATCTGATATTGTAAGTCCAGTTGCAAATTTTTAGTACGGCAAAGTTACGGTAACTTTCGAGTAAAATCTGTGCCGCGAAATGAAATTTAGTAAACTCGTGTAATTTGAATTCTCATATAATTTCTTTAAATTTCATTCATTGGGTTATTGGAATGAATTAATTGCAAATTCTTTGCCTTCCTATAATAAAGAGATGTTTCTTTTTCAATCATTCTTTTAACTGTTCTACCGAATTTATTTTAACGGTTTGTTTTTCATTCACTGTGATAGTCGAATGAATTAATTGCAAAACGCCAAATTAAATTTAAAAAATACGTTTAAGTGTTGTAATGTCTGGAACTAAAAAATATTTTGGAGAGACAAAATCAGCTCGTGGATTATTTCGTTACTGTAGTAGATTGCTAGCTTAACGCCTTGGAACCTCATTATTATGACCCTTGACTTTGTCAGTTATCCGAAATAGAATAACAACTCGTAGAGAAAATATTGTAATCGTATCAAATAACTAAGATCTCACTTGTACATAGGCATAGCATTAATTAACATATAATTATTCATCTTGTACGTACGTAAGTTTTCGTAAGACATTACTTTAAATTGTGACCGTCGTGTACACAAAGCGAAAATGATTCAACTTTAAATTTAAAATACCTAATCTAATATATACAAAGAACATACTACATAACACATACAAATAATTTATCATAATTTTTTTTAAAAAAAAACAGACCTCAAAACTCTGTGGAATTACATCTATTTGCCAAGGTTTATTCAAATTGGTTAGCGGGAAATGGATGAAATCCAATAAACCGAATTCATTCCCTAATTTGCCACCCTTAGAAGTGGAGTATTTTCTTCAAATTTGATTGAGACCATTACTGAGGTACCCCCTTTCCAAAAAAAAAGAACCGTTAAAATCGGTTCATAAATAACGGAGTAATCGCGTAACATACACGCAAAAAAATACTGTCTAATTGAGAATTTTTTCCATTTTTAAAAATCGGATAAGAGAGCAATTTATATCGAGTTCTTAGGTTTTCACGATTGTTACACATACCGGATTTAAATCCGGAAAAATAGTTTCATTTCCTAGAGCAATTTATGTTTTTGACGTATTTTGAAATATTTTTTATTGGAACCATAAATAATCGGAAATAACCTTTCTTTAGAATTTTGAAATAAATTCTTTATAACAACAAAAATATCTCTACTTGAAAGTTTACTTAAGTCAAAATACGACGGTCACTACGTATCAAATTGTTCCAATGGTCACCCAAAATCAAAAGCTCGCTTATCCCTTTGTTTTACGTTTACAAAGCTGGTTCCAGATACCAGAATCAGAACTCTTCAATTACTTGAAGTCGATTTCAACCAACCTGAGTTAAACTAATTTGTATTAATCGTTATATTCTATGTGTTCAGTGAGAAAAATAGGTTAATACCATGAAATTATTTAGCAAGTAGGTTACTCTCGACAAGTCATTAATTTTCTATTTTCTCGTTGTAACTATCTTAACTGGCGATAAAGAAAAAAAAGAAAATCATGTTTGAAATTGGAACAATTATTTTTTTTCTCACTTTATTTAGCTCGTTTTAGTCATTAAGACAGTTTCTCTATTTACATAGTTGTTCCATTAAGGATTTCTTTAAATCTCATAAAAAATAGGCCTAAACTCACATTTCTATGTAGTTGTAAGCCCGTAGTCGATACAGGAGTTTAGTATACTTTTTACTATAATATTTTACTAATCAATATTTGAAATTTAAATTTATAATTGACGATATTGTCGACGGATTGCACCATCACCTGTGCCAAAATTTGTAAATATATTTTTCCATTTATTAGTGTATTTCTACCGAATATTGTAAACCAGACATTTTATGTAGTTATCAATTATTTATTCATCGGTGAGATACTAGTGGTACTTAGTTAATACTCTGTATTGTTTTTGACGAACTTTGTAAATTTTTAACTGGTAATACAACCTCACATAACCTAGTCTTACCTAAAACTGTATAAGGGTCGAACAAATAGAACAATTTTAAATTGTATTTACTTTCTGAATAAAAAATACCTCATTCTTTTTTTGTACGGTTTATACATATTTAAATTTTAGCCACTAGTAAAGTTACAGATAAAAAATATTAAACATCATTATGAGAAATTACAAAAGTTGGTGCACGTTTTTTCTGTTCAACCTAGTGATATTGAAATCTAAGACCACCTTGGATTTGAATGTAATTCCTTGACTGTAATTCTAGCTATTTTTAAGCTACCCAAATGGTATTTTTTATTATAAATAAATTGCGTTCGATGTTGATAATTGGTAGTCCCCTGAATAATATATTCATTACGAAATTGTAGTCACTATTTCACATTTGTAACTGTCTCTGTGATAATTATTGCATTCGATTATTGGGAAAAGCTTTTTGACTTAAAAGAATTTGTTCGTCTTTCTTCTACATCTTTTGTAACTTTCGAATAACTACTTATGTTCTAAATATGTGCCAAAACATTTCTCGTTTTTTCTTTAATTCGTGTCACTTAAGAGCGTGTGCTGCGTGAAGCGAAACGATGCGTATGTCTCACAATAGACTGCCTGTTTCAATAAATAAAGGATACGTCCAGTTAAAGTTGACCGTGAAGGGCCTCACGCAGCGGCCACCATGATACTTTTTAGTCCAAAAACTTTTTACCACATTTTATAAAGTGCACTTTCGAAATTTCCGTTTAATATAACCGTCGGCTCTTACTAGGAGTAATATATTAATATTAATTAAAATTATATATCAAGTTTTAAATTTTAACCATTTTTGAGGTCGTGTGTGGAAGATCACCAAAGCTCTTTATACCTAGTTTAAAAAAATTCTGCACACAATCTTGATTAATGAGATTTTATTGCATATTCTACTATTAATGAATAATAATATATAGCGTAGTAACAGTATTTCGATTTGTAGGATTACATTCGTCACTTTCAAATGTAAAATTGTCATTTTCGAGATTTTTGGGATCGAAGAGGCGACCTGTGGGGACAGATGTATGGCATTTCTGGGATGTGAATGTGGATTGTACTCAACAATATAAATTTCTAATCCAATTTGTTGTATCGTTTTATTTAATTCTTATTCCAGTCAGTTGGTTGTACAACCTATAAGTACAACCTGTTGGTTGTACAACTAAAATAATAATGTGACAACCCTGCGCTTCCAGCCATTGCAGTAATGCGTCAAACAGGCGGGAGTGGCCCTACTTTTCTTATTCTACTGTACCTTTACTGAGTCAGTAAAGTCAACTCTTTAAGACAGCACTATTTTTATTTCATCAATAACCAGCAACCCAGTAAACGTCAGTTCATTATCACTAAAAATCCGACTTTATATAGTCAATCGTTTATTGAATAAGTACAAAATTATAAAAATACATTTTTAGTTTTGTATGTTGTATACTTGAAGAATCTTTTTGTCTCTTAATAATTTTGATACAGCCAAAACTATTTTTATAGTTTAATTTCCTTCTCTCCTCTCATAACTTGGCTCAACATTTGGTTGCACAGTGCAGCGTAAGGATTCATATCCACCACCTACAAAAAAGAAATTATTTTATTATGGCATACGAGTAGTTAGACGCCAAATGTGAGAAACACCTAAAGGGATACTTAATTTAGATACTAGTACCAGGATCGTTAATGGGCGCTTCTCGAAGAATTGCTAAGTTCTCTGATTTCGGTGGTCGAATTTTGTTTTTCTTGATTTCAGGAAAATCATTGAGCGGGAAAGAAAAAGAACTCAAACTTACATAAGATTCGGTATATTGGGCAACTATATTCTTTTTTATAATAGTTAATGATATATTTGTTCCAACGAATTCAGCAACCACCGAAATCAGTATAATTGAACCAAAGGCGTAATTTTTGTATAAATAATATTTTATGAAAAAGGCAATAGAACATTCAATAATGTACACAAACTTTTACTAATATGGGTAACTATTAAATCAAGCTTTAAAAACCGAAATTCATATAAAAAGCGACCAGAACAACGGAAACAAATTTCACCTTATGACTGTTAATTAAAATCAGTTTGCTGTTTAGCTGTTCAGTATTTTTTCAAACATGCAAAGTATTTCTGTAACTCTTATAAAAAAAAATTATAACGCAATCTGTAGCTACAAAACCAATGATTTTTATATTGAAAATAAAGTAATCCTATTGGTGGATTTTTTTCTCGCACACCGCTTCGCTACGTCGCACGTCACTAGTGGAAAAGCCTAAGGCCAGCCACATACAGTCGAAATTCCGTTTCGGAATATCAATTCGAAATTCCGTATAATGTAGTTCACACACATGCGTTTGCGTTACGAATAACAAGACTCAGCTGAGAGACACGTGGACGCGCAGAGTGTCCAGATGTTCTCGCAGCGAAAATATGTACGGAACTTACGACTGTGTATTGCGGCCCTACAACATCTATGGAAGACGCACTCGATACGGTTTTTTCCGTGCAGAATTCCAAATGCACAAGCCCATACGGAATTTCGAATCGGAAAATATTCGAACGAAATAGTAGGTACTATGTGTGTCCATGAGTGATAATGTGGCTAGTGGTGATAGGTATGTGTGGATATGTGGTCAACCTTACTAGCGAAGTACAAGTAGATATTACTATGCATAGATTACTGACAAATGTGTTCGATATTTAATTAAAAATGACTAACCTGTTTCTTAGCAAATCCACTGCCTAGATTAGCGGCTTCAGCAAACGCAGCGCGTGCCGCATCATCGTTTCCTCGTTTACGCAGGAGCACCCCTCGTTGGCACAGCGCCAGTGCACGTGCGCGGGTCTTGCGACCAGTTGTTAGTTGTAACGCGCGTTCTAGGTCAGACATTGCGTCTGTTGGTAAGACAATGTTATTTAGACTGCGAAAATGGTCTGACTAAATGGTTATTCCCCACAACGCAGCGTATAATGTGATAACCTTAGAATAATAACGCATAGAAACCTAGCCCGCACACGCTAAGTGAGGCAAATTGAAGCGCTCCCAATGGGCCTACACGAGCGGGCGGGCCTTCAGTGCTCAAGGTCAACTTGCACCGCGAACTGCTCCAGAATTTTAGCTAAAAATGACGAAATATGCGGTAAATGAGTGTAAAAATACGTCAGACAAACATAAAATAGATACTAACATCACATTCCACAAGGAAGTAACGCGTTTCAACTTGTATTTTTATATAAATATTCACTAAAACCGAAAATTAACGTACTACTAAAACTAGCCTACATGAATTTGATTTTTGCCTCACTTGTGACAGTTCGTTTGATATGAAACTATCATTCTATGGGTTATTATTCTAAGGTGATAACCGAATAACTGGGGCTAGCACTGGCAGGTACTTACTTAAAAATCTCGTAGTGAATTTAGATATGGTAAAATTTACGCATTTTTATTTGCCACTATCGCAACATGAGCGTTTCGTAGCGAATTACAGGGATTTAGTTATAATATAAATAAATAAATAACGCACACACTCAACATAGCCCCGCACTAGGGAAACCCTGTGTCCCGGGTGCCATGGACACACACATAGACAACCACAAATTACACCCAAACTCACGAGAGAAATAAATGTAAGCTATACAAACATTTCTCCCGGCCCGAGAATCGAACCTGGGACCTCTGCGTGGCAGTCCGGCATGGAAACCGTTCGGCCACGGAGGCAGTTAAAATATGTTCTAAAAATATGGGAATATCGATAGGTAGGCAAATTTCACTTGAAATCGTCATATTGATTTAACTCTACTGCTCATTCGTAAGGCTCATTCGTACCCCTGAGAAGAATGAGAAAAAAACTCTAGGGGTTGCTCTTTGTAAACATACATTTGAATACATTTATCACCACCATGTTTAATTTAAACATCTTAGATCGAGACTGCCTACAAGAGCTAAACGGGCAACTACCACGGATTTTTGTCATCTAAGTACGTAGACGCTGTATGAGCTGAACCTTTCAAGAAAAAAATCTATCTGCGGACCACCCACGGGTTCTCGTTTTGATGTTTGTGGGTCCTAATTGAGGAAGCCCTGGGTTGATTCCTGGCAGGACCAATTTGGGAAACGAACATAATTCATTTATTTGTAAAAACAGGTTGTATAGAAGTTAATACGTAATAAAATAGGTATAGTTTCACTATGTTCATTAGGCATACAAACAAGGTAGGTACAGTATATTATAGTATATAGTTTGTTAGCAGACTAAACTAGGCGTATAAGTTATGCTCTGGTCGGGGCGTTGTGGTAGTGCCCTAAAGTTAAATTTATGCCCTGGTATCTACTCAAAGTACACGACTTGAAACCTTGAAACATATTTATAGTTTGCGATACCTCCAGTGAACACTACATCAAATTTATCTAAAAAAAACTTTTATTTACAAAATCAAGTGACGGGACGAACAAGTGGTGCGCCTGATGGTAAGCTACACCCCTGTCCATAACAGTTGCAGTGCCAATCAGAGCTTAAATCGCAACGATTTGAGGGGCGCTGCCACTGCACCCGTCACCCTGAGACATAAGATGACAAGTCCCATGTGCCTGTAATTCCACCAGCTCTCTTACCCTTCAAAACCGGAACACAGTAATGCAGACATTACGGGTGGCGGCAGAAATAGGTAAGGCGGCAGTACTACCCTGGACGAACTCTTTCACAAGGAACTCTACTGCTACTAGAATAGAAAGAGTTGGCATGAAGTACTCTGTGAAACAATAAGCCGCGGCCCACCGTATCTAGGTTATCACCACCACCATCACCACTTACCATCATCTTTCTGCAAAAGCCTTAACAACTGAGCTCTGTCGTTGTACGCCGCAGCGCGGTCAGGGTCTGCGTCGACACCTCTATTCATGACACTTAGTGCCTCTTCTAGTTTCCCTGCTTCAGCGAGACACACACCTTCAGCACATAGTGACACCGATGCTTTTGTTGCGTCAGTTGTAGGTTCTGATGATAACGAATTATTCGTTAGAGAAATGCTCAAAAGACCCAGAATTAAGTAGGTACTTACATAGGTATTTATTTGGTTTTCGTAATTACTGCGCATTGGAAATGAAAAATTTTGTTAGAAAAGCCAATACACGCAATTTAGATCCGAAAAAATTGTTTCATAGTACTTTTTATTGAATATCATATGTTATTCAAATCCGTTCAAACCCAATATAAAGATCTGCAACAAGTATAAAGAGGAATTCAAGATCTGCAGGCTCGATTCGTAGCTCAGTTGTCTGAGCGGTAGACACGTAGAA